CTATCTCCTGAATATCGTACAGTACAAAAACAGAAAATACATCTTTGGTGATGAAAAGCTTATTGAAAAAAAAATACGTCCAAAAAAAAAACTTTGAAAAAGATTAAACATGTGGTATATGAAGATATTTTGTACAGACAATCGAGACATGTCTTTGAATTTCCCTAATGAGCAGCAACTAAGTTGCAACGCCATTCATAATTGCACAGTAAAATAAATAATAATAATAATCACCAATGAAGAAAAGCTTGATAATATGAAGGCTCTTCTTGATACCGTGAATAAAATATCGGATTTATCGACATCTGTATCTAGAGTTGGATGAGATTGAGTGTTCATATTTATTAATAAACCAGATAAAAAATAGGAATGTAAGTACTCATAAGTACCTCATACGTCCCACAATCAATACCAGAAAATAAAAAACTAAACATTTACCCGAGATCATTCGATTTGATCACGAACATCGGATGTTACCCTCCTGATAAGAAAGTTGGGGTGTGAGGACAAGGTAAAACAGAGGAAAAATTTAAACTTCCTTTAATTTGAATACTACACATACATTTCAAAACAAAATAATTCACATTACAGTAATTTTTGGCCTTTTAGCCAACCTGAAACGTTCGCCATGAAATTTGCGTGCCGTGTGAATTTTGCCGAAAAGTTTGTCCATTGTAATGTCAATTACAGGTAAAGGTGTGTTAAATAAGTTTTTGTTGTTGTTTTTTCACGCATTACATAAACAAACTTTCCTACATCAAATTTTCATACTTTCTAAAACCCCTTTCAATCTTGTTCAAGAATCAACATTTGGAATAGCCTTGATTTAGAAGTGGCAAACCTGCCAATATCTTAGCATAGCAGTGGCAAAATCCTAATTGATCACGTATTGGATTGTCTTATTGGAATCAAAATCACCCTACATGGATTACATGGGAGAGGCCTTCTGGAAGTGGCGAACCTACCAAGATTTTAACTTGGCAGTGGCAAAATATTAAATGATCGAAAAGTTAAATCATTCGGTCACTCACTATTTGGGAAAACAAGAAAATCACAAGCTGTATAATATGTATTACTTGGGTGGCCTTAATCATAGTATCAGTTTTAATTTGAAGTAAAATCAAATACAAATTTGCATGACAAAAAAAAGGGGGGGGGGGTTAAACCTGACCGAATATATGAACAATGTGAATACAATGCAATAGAGGCGTAAAACGTTTTCGCCATTTTGTTCTCTACTAAATAATAAGTTATCAATGACTAAGTTACTAAACTTATTAGTCTAAGTGAATAAATTGGTCAAGGGATTATTAAAGAAACTTTTAAATATCCAAACGCTTAGAAAAAAAAAAAAACGTCAAATAGAGTAAGTACAGTTTACATTCTGTTCGACTATTTTTAATTACCTACAAGTTCAACTTGGGCAAGCCAAGTGGTATTTGATGATAATCAGGCTCAATTTTTTAGAGATATCATTACTATTTAGTACAGAAATAGACGGTAGATATTTGTTTTATAGCAAGTGCATAACTATTTGGAATGTTTAAACTTCACTAGAGAAGCAAAAACATTTCAATTAACAGCAAAGGTGATATTTACGTTTCAATCTTTTTCAAAGATGATAATTTTAAAGGTTTGGAGATACGATACGATTTATGTATCTTCACGAAATTTGACTAGCTTTCAGTAAACATTACAAGTTTTTTTTGTACAGAAAAAAAATCAGAATTTCTAATAAATTATTTTTGCTAAAAATTAATGATTCAATAAAGGAAGATGAGTATTGAGAATTACATGTTGTCTTCATTTCTTTTGTCAAAAACATTACATGCAAAATAACATAACAAATTAACAATAACAAAATACATACAGATATTAACTTTTTTTTTTAACTTCCTTGCCAGCTGCCATGTGGTTGATCAAACCTGAGAATTTGTAAAAGGAATGTAAAGTGTGAAGTACTTAAATAAGACAATGTTAGTAATATAGATAATAAATTACAGACAAGACTGTCAAACTTTGTAACAAACCGTTGGTAAAACTTCTGTATCTAGAAACGTATCGAATACTATGATGAGATACGCACCCCTAATAATTGTACAGTTTTACACTGTTTTTAAAACCAAGTGCCGAAGTTATCCAGAGTAGTTCAGTGCTGTCTATTCACAATGAAATTTTATTGCATAGAAGACGTGAACAGAGGGAGCCGTAAAACGGTGTCATATTTTGAAAATATTATAGGTGAAATAATAGTCTTCTTTTTTTTTTTTCAGTTCTGATGTTCTTCTGAAATAAGTCAACTATACAAATCTTTTATGGAAACTTCAAAAACTCTTGTTCACACTCCATGAGATAGTAATCGACACTCTTATGCGATCTAAATATCGATTTATCATAATCATAAACACACGCTGTCTTCAGTGAAGAACTGGATGATAGTGAACAGATAGGGATTTATGTAATCATCATCTGACGAATGCTTTGCGACATTTTTTGATTCGGTAAGTTAGATATACTCAGAGTAAAATTTCGCAGGTTTTTGCAAAGCTCAGTACAATGTATAGGCCGAAGCCCTACTGTGGCTCAGCGGAAAGTCTGTGGAATGGGGTTTCAGTACCCGCGGAGGGCAGAGAACAAATCACACAATGTGTAGCTTTGCACTCGGCAACAAACGCATACAATATACAGTAACTTTCTCATACCCGACCACTAGTGGTGATGTAATTAACTTCAATTTATCCGTCAACATAATAAGAACATCTTCGTAGTAAATTTCATTATTGTCAAAATTTACCAAAATTGTTACAATTAATATATTTTTCTCTGTTCGAATATGTATTATGTATTGCTAACACCTCCTATGTTGGCGATTTAACTAATAATGATATATGTATTAAAATATGCTAAAAAACTAAGAATAAGTTTGCTGGGTTGTTATGACTTTTTAAATGGTTATCCAGTTAATAAAATGCGTTTGTTAGTGCTCTCTCTCCTATAAAGCATTTTATCTGTACTTGGTATATAAGGTAAGTGCTTTTCCTTTTCTTTGTCGTATAAAATCACTTATAACATGTTTCATTGTTTTAAGCAAGCGCTTTGTTAAACACATGAGGACAATCATTCGCAAGTTATAGAAGACAGCCCCAATACGGGACCAAGAGAACATCCAATTACGATAAGACAATGTTTTTTTTTGTTTTTTTTTCACAACTTAGTTATACCAGCAACTTTTGGAGCTAATTAGTTTTATGTCATAACATGTGCATTTCGAAAAAAAAAAAGTTAAAAAAATGGCTCTGTTCAAAGGCGTCGCTAGGCATTGGTACACGAGTCCCGTCCCCCGATTCTATTTGGCAGTGCCCCGAATCCCCAGTTGGTGTCTTGAAAAATCAGAACAGTCATCGAATCATCACCGGAATTAGGTCTTATGTAGACCTGGGAAGGTCAGGTGCATGTTTGACCTCATCCTCCCTCCTTGACTGTTATTTTAATTGAGGCTTTTAGTCTTTTTATTTTATTTTCTATTTATCCTTTTCTTTTCAGGGCCATGTCCATGAATGTTATCCTATGGCTGGTGTAGGTGAAGCTCTGGAATGGGGTGACTTTTATTTTTTTACTTGGTTTTACTTTTAGATGTTTTGTTAATTGATTGTGTGATATTTGGGCTCAAGAATAAGTGTATGACGTGTGGAATAACAGGTATAAGGTGCTGTTTAGCTATTTCCATTAAAAGTGTGAAACCCTCTGTACTGTTTTGCGGGATTCTGTACTGTTGTATGAAATCTAAGAATGTATTTTTAATTGCTTCTGAGATAGGATTTGTTTCGTTTTCAAGTGTGTTTGTTGGTTGACTTTGTACGATTTGATTTTTGTTATTTTGTACATTCAAACTGTCAGGTTGTTTCTGGGTTTATTTTGTTGGTATTAGCTTGATTTTTTTGATTTAGTTGTTGTGATCGTGCAGCCTCTGCATAAGTATATGTTGTAGTCTTTACGGGTGTATTGTGTGTTACTGATGTAGGTAATAGTGGTGCTTTTCTGTTAGAGTTTATTTCTGGATTGTGTTTGTTTGTTTCAGTTTGCTTTGACTTATTTTGTATATTGTAGAGTCTAGTTTTGATGGCCTTATATTTAGGACATCATTTATAATTAGCTGTATGTTGCTGTTGGCAGTTACAGCATAGTGGAATAGAAAAACTATATCATACTGAAACGTCGAAAATTCCCGCCTCTGTGTACCCGAGCCCCGACTCTTTTAACCACCTAGCGACGTTCTTTCAAACTCCATAAAAAACTAAATTCAAGCAATAAAACGTATTTCAACGAATTAATACGAAATTTTTAAACAAGAGTGTGGGTGTGTATATACATATACACACTTATAATTTATAAAACCTATAAAAATGTGCAACAGCAAATTACCAAACCTTTAAATAATTGTTCAAAATGCATATAGAATTCTTATCTTTGAAGAACAAAGACATAAAAAGAATAATAATAACCACGGTCACGTTCAGCAAATCTCAATATTATACTATAATTAGTCTCTGTTACCCTTTTAACTTAAGCTAGCAATGTCAAAAGTTAAAAACCTAAATACTATATGGTCGTAGAAAAGTAGCAAATATTAATAATTAATATTAATTTTCCACGCACAACAAAGACTATATCACAATGTTCTTTAAAATTAAAGTTTAATTAACCTCCACTGGCAATGTTTTCTAATCCTAGTGTTCAACATCCATTTAATTAACATTATCTGTATCAATGTAAGAGTGTGTTTATAGGATAATTTATGTGTTAGTTTAGTTCCGAAGCACTTATTACAAAATATTAATTCCTACAAACCTTCACAACGTCGTATTTCACCTTTTGTTTCTCGGAAACGCCTACTTTTGTGTTCGTACTTATTGTACACATCTGCTGCAAAGTAATGTCCATCCTTCCTTCTCACGCAATCGCGAAGGTTGTAATATATGATATCACTGGCAATGTTCCTTACAAGTGAAGTTTTACCGCGTGGTAGTGCTTACTTAACGAGAAAATATTTCTTCATTTCACTGTTTTACTTATAGTAATAATCTTTATAAAATCACTAGATCTGTCGGGAAATGTTCATGTTTACTATTGGCATAAAACTCAGTATAACCGCAGTGGTATCGTCTTTCGGGAACGTAACACCGCCAAGACCCACACATATGGCCATTCTTGCAGGCATTACTGGCACCCAGCCAAAATGCAGCCTCAGCTGACAGTAAGCAAGCACATGTCTACGGGAAAAGTCCATTATTCGTACATTGGAGGGAGTGCAATGCATACAGTTCCAAAAAGGTACAAGTTAAATAACTATAAATTAAAATATAAAAACAGCGAGACCCCAAGCTATGTACATATACATTTATTACGGAGAAAATATTTCTTCTCTAAAAACGCAATACCAGAAAAGGATCAAGAACATCTTCTAACCAGTATATAAGTAATCATTATATAAGTTAAAGAATAATCTAATACCGGGATGGAAGACAACCTGAGGAACATGGCATGATTCACCAAGCCTTGCATGAAATAAGTAGTGTAATCATAACTACACTTTGTGAATGAAGAACGCTACAAACGTATGACACCTGGTTTCTTTCCTACTTGTTTAATTCATTTATAATCTATCATTCAAAACAGGAGGGTCAGATAACAAAGATGCATGAAACTTGTCACACGTGTTAAGTAGACATTCCTTCTGTATAAAGCCTGGATTGTTTTGGTTTGCTGTGTTTCTACCTTGGACTATGTTTGAATTCTACTTGACTTCAAACAGCCAATTACAAGTCGCGATACGCTAACTGAAAATAGTGAAAGGCTGTAGCAACAGCGTTAAGATTACTCACTAGAGGACTTGTTATGCAAAGTATTCAGGGGTTAAAAACAACAACAAAAATTTGTGTTTAATTTTGTATGAAAGAATTTTCGATCCTTTTCACTCGTTTTTTTTTCTTTTTTTTTCAAAAACGTCGCTAGGTGCTTAAAAGATTCGGGGCTCGCGCCAATAGGCGCGGATATTTTCTGCGTTTCCATATGGATCATGGCTTTCTATTCTGATTTTTCAAGACCCCAACTTTGGATTCGTGGCACTGTCAACTAGAATCGGGGCAGGGGCCTCGTGTGTCAGTGGCCATCGATGCCTCTGATTTTCTTTTGATTAAAATTTTCATGTTTCTAGGCAGCGGAACGGGGGGGGGGCACTGGGGACAGGTTTGTTTGAATTTCGCTCAAAGCTAATCGAGGGCTATCTGCTCCAGCCGTCTCTAATTTAGCAGTGAATAGACTAGAGGAAAGGCAGCTAGTCAACATCACCCACTGCTAACTCTTGGGCTACTCTTTTACCAGCCAGTAGTGGGATTGGTCGTCACTTTATAACGCCCCCACGGCTGAAAGGGCGAGCATATTCGATGAAGGGGGATTCGAACGCGCGACCCTCAGATTGCGAGTCGAGTGCCCTAACATTCAGGCAGGCCATGCAAGGCCTAGGGACACACGTGGCTTAAACTTTTGAATCAGTAGTGAATTGCCCCTTTGAATGGGGGATAGAGTCTTGTTTATAATTATTGGGGAAAGTCGCTGTTTCATCATATCAGATAAGGTGCCTCTCCCCTTCAAATTAAGATTTGTTCCGTTGCCTGTGTTAAGATTTGTTAAACTTTACATAAAGCTACTCGAGGTTTGTTTGCACTAGCTATTCCTTATTTTGAAGTGATAAACTAAAGGAAGGCAGCTAGTCAACACCACCGCTAACTGATAAGCTACTGTAATCGAATAGTGAGATTAGAACGTTAGTCTTAAAACTCAACTACAGACCCAAAGTGTAGAGCACAATTTTTTTTTTTTTTTCGCTAACGGGGCGTGAACCATGGAACCACAGTTTGACACATTAATTTGTGAGCCGTGCTCAGCCCGACATGTGTAACAATTCATAAGTTTTCATTTTTCTTATCTTATAAAGAACTCGTCAGGTGAGTTACCAAAACCACAAAAACAGGAAGTTCCGATATTTGAATAAGTCTGACTTTATTGCAAATAAAAGAGACTGCCACCATTATTTCACAATGAGACAGCACTTTATTAAACACACGAAAAAGACACGTGATTTTAATTGTGAAGGGCAAAACTTACGAGTACTTGCGTCTTTACTAGCAAGTGTCTGTTTTCTGTTATATGGCTAGTTGAAGAGATATACAAAATCAGATGCGCTCAACCAAAACCAGAGCAATTCTGAACAAAAAAAAACTTTACTTATTAGCATAATATTAAAATTGTTACTGTTTATATAACATCGACATCCGAGCCTATATATTTCATCACACTCATTAAACATAACCCTTTATACTCCTGAAGAAGAATTGTCAACTATTCGAAAGCGCTCGAGTTTTGGGTCTCGTTTAGAAAATATTACAACTTTTGTAGGTGATCCAGTATGCTAACTACTTAACCCGGATTACAATTCTAAATTTACTGAGATTTTCCAAAATGCAACGTCTCTTATGTCAGTATGCAAGTTGCGTTAACTGTAAATGGAAAAAAAAACATAGTTTCAATCTTCTCTATATTCAAATAAAACCAGCATGCCAGAAAATTCATGACAGATTGAGCAAGTCCTGAAACTGACAAGCCTTTGGCCAAACTTACAAACATGTGAGATAGTCATTAAAAAACAAGATTACTATAGTTCAAAAGTGGACACAACTTATTTGTTCAGAATTTATATCAGAAACCTGTATCAAAATTTCTAATATTTGTATGAATAACAATAGATTGATATACTATATTATAGATGATTTAGTTTTAGGCATCTGCACATCCTAGCTCCTCTTTCTCTACCTTAAATCATGTTGGTCATCATTATTTTAAAATTTAATATCAGTCAGAATTTAAAAAGTAACCTTTCTTAACACAAAGAAATAACAAACTTGACTCAAACAATCCCAAATGCTAAAACAGTTATGACAAACAACGTGTAATATAATACCTTTAATTACGATAAGTACATTGGAATGGACGGCAACTGCCTGTTGTAAAAACACACTAGTGTAGAGGACGACGTTTCGAAAGTCTTTCGTCTTCAGATGTTTTTTTTTGACTAAACTGAAGGTCTTAATAGTTTTGAAAACCTCGAAAATGTAAGTTAGGTGTCTATAAAAGTCTCTTAGCTTGTTATAAGAGAGATTTAAAACTATGATGAACAATACATAATATGCGGCGGTCATTTTTTCCCACTCCACCTCTACATACTAAGTACTACCGTGCTTAGTGATAAAGAAATTAGAACTCAAAATCAAAAGGGTACCTTACATAATCATAACTTAACAATAACAAAAATTACACAAACTAAAAGAAGTAAATACAGCTAAAAAACTTACATAGATTTATACAATATGACATAAAGAAACTCCTTAGCCTAAAGCACAAAAATAATGTAACGTTATACAAAAATGCTATTTAACGAAGACTGAAAATCGGATACACAGAATGATCGACTTTGGACTCTTCATGAAAATATTTAATTCACTATGCATACTGTATAACATATGACTTTTTACTTGTATCAGCTATGACGATTTTTTTAATATAATAATGATACAACACTTTATTTTATAAGCAGTAACTGGGACATAAGCTTTTACAAAGGGTATATTAAATTTTTTTCTTTAAATATTTCCCAAGATCCATCACAGGGTCAACAAAGAAAATCATAACATGATCACAGACTGTTTGAAGTTTAATGGTTTAAAATATATATGTATCGTTATAATCGGTATAATCGTTCACTTCTATAATTTATCTGATGAAACTATTAATTTTACAAATATATATATATGAGAAAATCTCGCCCCTCAACTCACACAAGTTACGTAATGAACAAAAGTTACATTTTGAACTCTGATGTAATGCAATAGTCTGGAAGTGTCAACTTTAACTTTTGCAACGTATGCAGTATCATGGAAAGTGTCATCAGTAACTTTTACAACGTAAGTAATATCATGGAAAGTGTCATCAGTAACTTTTACAACGTATGTAATATCATGGAAAGTGTCAACGACACTTTCCATGTTATTACATACATTGTAAAAGTTGCAAGTTGGAACTTTTACAACGTATGTAATATCATGGAAAGTGTCAACTGTAACTTTTACAACGTACGTAATATCGTGGAAAATATTACTTATGGGTTACTTACATAATGAATAAAAAAAATGCAGAATATTAATTCACTCATAACTTCTGATGTAGGCTGGTGGCTGACAACCAGCCTCCTTCACAGGATATTTGTGGTAGTTAAGAAATGACGTACTAACAATTACTAGTTGAATAACCCTTTATCTCAGATAGTTGAATACTCACTTCGCATGTGAGAGTTCTAGAGTTCGACTCTGACCCGTGGAAATAACAACAAAAATATAGATGCAACAGAAAAACTGGCCAACAACATGGGGCTAGTCCACGATCGTCAGATAAGGCCCGAGACATTTCTTGTTCACCAAAAGATGATGATAATAATAATAATTCAAACTTGTTCACACATATGCATCCACTGACTTAGTATAGGTTTAATTATATAGATAGGTGTTGAAATGTGGATAATCTGTGATTGCCTTAGTTACTTATTGTTATGTTCCATTCCCCTTTGGTGTCACATACATGTCTTTCATGAAATTGTTGCTGCAGAACCGTCTGGATTAGTATATTATGTAGTTTCTGTTGTGCGTCAGCCATATAGTGGACTTTGTGATACCCCGAGGATACATCCTCCTTACTTTTGCTGGTAAAATGACAAACGACATGAGTAATACATGAGATCTAGCAGAAATAATATTATTATATACTGTATATATTGTCATTGTTCTTTCCAACTCTTATTCAGATTTCCAATGAGATTTCCGTTAGTATTTTTTGAATAAAGAGTACTATCCACTTTAGAGAACAACGATAAATTATGTTTAATTCTTTCGCCATTTTGCTTGTTTTATTGTACATAAAGATTCATTTCCCATTGTTTTACTTTGTCTCGTTCTTCAAAATAAGCCAGAATGAATAAGCCAGTTTGTGCCATTCCTCCTGCTATTGTAGATACTGGTTTTACTTGTAGGGTTAGTCACTGCACCTGGGAATACCAAAGATCCTCTCCTTTATGTACTAGGTCCCACGCCCCTGTCAATCTGACAGCCTGAGAGCGGGAGTGTTGTTTCCACATGATGGATGGTAGAATTCAAGGTTGGCTAGAACTGATATATTTTCTGTCATTGGCAGCTCCATTTCAATAGCAATCACAAATTTAATACTAACCTTTGATGCTGGTTACATAACATGTTTTTCATCATTGAAAGCTCTAATATGGTGGAAGCTAAAACAAGTGGTTTCACATGATATTTCTCAATACAATGCCTTATGAATATTTTTTCTCTCTCTCTCTATATATATATATATTCATATAATACGACACACAGGTGAACTTATATATATATGATGTACGTACATACAGCATCACATTTGC